AGAGTAAATTCTTACCGGACGTTTTATCCAATATTAATGTTAGAAAATTGGAATCCAGAGTGAAATCCAATCTATTAAAGCTTCTTAAAATGAACGTCATAAACACTGAGGAGTTTAATGTATTAAAACCTTCGGGTTCTGTTCTCCCGAATTTATATGGACTACCTAAAGTTCATAAACCTAATATTCCATTACGACCAATTTTATCTATGCGCGGTTCACCCACACATGAGCTAGCTAAATGGCTTGTAAAATTGTTAAACCCAATTCGTATTAAACTATGTAAGTTTTCCTTAAAAGATACATTTGAACTGATTGATCTTCTTGGGGACATTAATATTAAAGATAAGTCTTTGTATTCTTTTGATGTTCCGTTAACAAAGACGGTGGATTTCCTTTGTGACTATATTTCTAAAAATTTTTCCCTTTTTCCTATTCCGTTATCATTGTTGAAAGAATTACTTTTGTTATGTACTGCTAATGTTCAATTCACGTTCGATGGTGAATATTTTCGGCAAGTTGATGGTGTAGCTATGGGTAGCCCTTTGGGGCCTCTCCTAGCTGATGTATTTATGTCATATGTAGAAAACAGGACGAGTGAGCTTATTAGTGAGGTAACTCTATATAGAAGATACATGGACGATATTCTAATTATATGTGATAAAGACTTTGACGTTTACGGATTATTGGATAAACTCAATAGTGTTCAAGATGATATCGTGATGACACATGAAGCAGAAAGTAATGGCGAATTGGCTTTTTTAGACATACTTTTAAGTCGAAGGGATGATGGTACTATTAGACGGTCAGTGTATAGGAAACCTACCTGGACGGGACAATACTTAAATTTCCATAGTTTTTGTCCATTGCAATACAAGCGAGGCTTGGTTAAGTGTCTCTTTAAAAGAACTCAAAGGATTTGTACATCTGACACGGTCGAAAAAGATGAAAAGTTACTGACTGACACATTAATAGCAAATGGTTATCCATTAAAGTTTATTAATAGGTGCAAAAGTCAGTTAATGCCAAGACCTCTTGTTTATTTGGTCCCAAAGAAAAAAGTTTACATCAATCTACCATATAGAGGTGAATCTAATAGCATAGTTTTAAGACAGAGATTGAAAGCAGCGATCGAGAACACCTATTATGCTGCTCAATTGATTGTGATTGAAAAGTCCAAGGCCATGATTCCTAGTAGACCCAGACAATGCACCAATGATTACGTCACATCCCATTGTATTTACCAATTTACATGTTTGTGTGGACACACATACATAGGGAGGAGTAATCGAACAATGCAATCAAGGGTCAATGAACATGTGCCTAAATGGCTTCAAAATCAATGTGTGTCAAACGATCCGATCAACGTGGGTGGTAGAAAACCAGGGTCATCGATTGCAAAACATATAATTGAAACGGGGTACAAAATTGATATTAATGCAGCTTTTAAAACGTTGTATAGAAATTGTCAAGGACGAATTCTTAAGTTTATAGAAGCCTTGGCTTTTCGTAAATTTAAGCCCCCTTTATGTGTACAAAAACAATCTGTCGTAACCTTGAATTTACCTTTGTAATCCTTGAGTCATTCTATGGCCTAGGATAATGCGACAATTTCTTATCCTTTCTCTCCCATTTGTTATTTTTGTTTGTACTTTAACTTTCATGTAATTGACCTTTATTAATTTTCATATAAAATGCCCTGACAAGTATATGTGTGACCAGATTGTTCGAAATGTATAGCGCAAATACATCACATTTTTCAGATCAACTCCGTCTTCTCATTGTTCTATCGAAATTCATAAAAGGGACTAATTGCTTTAAATACCACAAAAGCCGAGTTTAGATCAACCTTATGCCCTGTTTCAATTATATGTTTAGCAATAGAGGATGATGGATGTTTATCCTCTACTCTTATAGGGTCACTTGATTATATTTGTTTCTGCAGCCATTTGGGTACATGTTCACCCACCCTAATGTTGAGATCACGATCACTCCTCCGGAGTATGTGTAATTATACACACACACACACACACACACATTTAAATTGGTAAACACAGCGGGATGTGACGTAATTGTTATCTTGTCTTTTTTGGTTTTCGACGAAGTACGAACTTTGTTGCTTCCTTGACCTTTGCTGCACAATATGTCTTGTTAGTGACTGGTTTAATCCTTTCTTTCAATAAAAACACTATTTGAATCATCTCTAAATGATGTAGACAGTAGTAGCTATAGTATGTTTCACTGTACCATGGTATTTCTCTCATATATCACACATTTCTGATATTCGTCTACTTCCTACTTGTTTATTAAATTATCTTTTCTGGTTAGCGTTTTTTGTTTTAGCGAGTTAGTTTTCTACGGGATGAGGTCGCTAACCCCATACCCAATCCTCCTCTTTTATCTGGGCTTGGAACTGGCAATAACCTAATTGACCTAATTGAAAACATGTCACTTTATAAGAGATATGTGGACGATATCTTAGTTGTTTGTGAAAGAAAAGAGGATATGTACTGTTTAATAAATAAATTTAACACTCCAAAACCATATCAGTCTCTCATGTGAAGAGGAGAAGAGCGATCAGCTCCCCTTCCTAGATATACTTCTGAGTAGATGAGAAGATGGCTAAGACAAGCGATCCATTTTTAGAAAACCAACGTGGACAGGTCAATACCTTAGCTATTACAGTTATTGCCCTATGCAATACAAACGTGGTTTGATAAGGTGTCTTTTCAACAGGCTTGATTGTATTTGTACAAATGACGCCATTGATGATGATGTTAAGTTGCTAAATAAAACATGAATAGAAAATGGCTATCCTCTGTAATCCATAAATAGATGGAAAGTCCATGGTACAGTGAGACCTACTGTAGCCTCGGTAAAAAAAGCCTGTCTACATCACCTTACCATTCAGAGGTGATTCAAATAGCCTTTTATTGAAACAAAGACTTAAATCAGTCATCAATAAAACGTATTGCGCAGCAAAGGTCATTATCAAAGAAAGAACAAGGTGCATGCTTTATCCAAAACCTAAAAGACATGAAAACAACTACGTCACATTCCACTGTGTTTACCAATTAAAATGTGTGTGTGCTCACATATACGTAGGAATATCATTAAGCGACCGGTTATTTTTTTAATAAATTTTTTTCACCCCTTTAAAAAAGTTTCTTCATCCTATTTTCCAAAATTTTTCACCACGTTTCGTCCAATTAAATGGCTAGTTTAAAATTCGTTATAATTGATTAGTTATGTCTTGAAATTGTTATAAAATGTCAGTACATGTGGCCAAAGTACATTTTAATCATCATCATGAAGGAGAGTAACATGCCATGTACAAGCGCTGTTGTTTCTCACGTTGTCACAGAAACAGAGGACGTATTTTTGACTACATTGTTTCTCGTTGCGTTCCAATCAGTTGAAGCGTTAAAGTCCGCTATTAGAACTTATGAAAGATTTACGTACTGTCATTATGTGGTGAGAGTGTGGCGCATATATATTTGGTGCCCCCCTGTACCAATATTTATGTGTTCAAATAAATAAATATGTGGTGAGAGATTCGCATTTGGACAGAGATCAGAAATCGTATATTAAATTTGTATGTTGGAGAACTGGCCGTAGAAGATCTAACAGTTCGTCACAGCCGATTAGACGAAGGAAGTAATTTGATTAGTGTTATTACGTTTTTTTGCACGAAGGACTTCCATAAACACTCAATGTCCGGCCTTCATCTTTTGTAAGTTTATAGAAGGTTACTGGACTGTTGTACGTGGGAATGTGCGTCACAATCACAAGTGCAATTCCCTGAGGTACGACAGTAATTGAGTGCGCATGTTAACGGAGGTAGAGTTTGAAACTGTGCGACCGCTCCTGATATCTGGGACCGCAGCACTCGATATTAAGCACTTTGCTTATCATTCTTATGGAAAGCGTTTGAATGCTCAAGATATATTTAATATGCGGTACAAAGTGTTCTTACACGCCAACCTTCCTGGTAAGCAGTCTGCCTATTTATAATGTAAACGATAGGTGATTACGCCAAATTTAAAGCTCACATAATGTCTTTAGGTGGGCTTTGCGATTACGAATTAGACGAAGAAAATTGTCTGTCGTATTTTTTCTTCACGACTGCTGATCAAATGAATTTGGTGGCTGGTTTTTTTGATGTCGTCGGTTTCGACGGGACGTAAAAAACAAATAACGAGAACGTATATTTATGTCAGGTAGTAGCCCTTGATATGAATTTTATGGCAATACCTGTTTGTATTGCATTTATAAGTTACGAAACATCGACTTTGATTTCTCGATTCCTGTCGTTCTTTCAATGGTCAACTAACAATCGACAGGTGATAGGCATTGTGACAGATGATTTACCTGCAATAGCTGCTGCCATAACGCAGGTGTATCCAAATGCTCACCACATTTTGTGTGGTGTACACCTAATTCGCAAAGCCATAAAGAGGGTAAGTGTTTCGTTCCTTAACATTTACCGTCATTGTAGAGGGTACGATCTCCTGATGTTCATTCGAACTGTTGAAAGGTAAATGAAAATCTACATAACACTATCTTGTAGTTTTATCAATTATTTATCGTTGATCGAAATATCCGACGAAACGTTTTCTCGATATGTGAGAGACCATTTACTGCCGAGAAAACAAAAATAGTCTACTGCTTTTCGACCATCAGCGACGCTACTTCAACAAAATAATACCAACTTCGTTGAGAAAACTCATCAAATTTTGAAGATGCATAAGCTGAATCGAAAAACACCTGTGTTGAGATCTATATTCAGTGTGCTACTATGCACTGGATATTGGTTGAAAGCACCACTGCAAAAGTATATATCAGACTGTCGGAAGGAAGCAATTATTGGTCGGGAGCCACAGATATAAGTAGTACTCAAGTTGATGTCAGTTTGCCATGTCAACCGCCTGCGAACACAACAATCTCCACAAACACGCACACTCATGACATGCAAATAACTCGAAAAGAATATGACTAATTCAGTATTGACATACCTGATCCGACTCGATGGGCTTTAAAGATGACTTCACTCGACTACATGCAACATCGATTTGTTCACTTTTCCTATTATTCTTACCATACATTTCCAATAAATGTATTTTAGCTTTGTTGGCTCGTTCGATATTTCTACATGCCATAAAGATTGTTGCACCACGACGAGCTAATTCACTGGCTGTATAAAGACCGATTCCAGTGTTACATCCTGTTACAATTGCCATTTTTCCGTCCAAGCGTTTGTTGATAATACATAATCTTCTTCTTAAACCAACGGTTTCTTTCATTGTTTTGAATACGGTGGAGTGACTTTGATGTTGAGTCTATGTTCGATATGTGATGACTGAACTGTACACGAATTTAAAGTGAATAGAATATGAACTGAATGTTATATCTAACCAATCAGATTAATTTAATGATAACAAACATATATTGACGGTATTTGTTTAGTTGAACTATGTAACTGTTTATAATTATATATTTTGTTAGTTGGATTCTATCACTTTAAATACGATTTTGGTAGTTCAGATTTATTCATCAAATGCATAACTATCAAACAACTGGATTTAGTGGAAAATGTACTATATAAGAAGTAATGGTAATATTCTGAATTATTTTCAGCTACAATTTTTCCAGTTCAGTACACTTTATTCCACATTTACTGCATTGGTCAGTTATTTCAAATAATGAATTCTTCAGTGTCATTTCTCAGGGTTTAGAATTGTATTTATCAATAGTTTAACATAGTTGCAAGTATAATCAATAAATCTAATTACATCAAATAGATTCAATCAACTCAAATAATTGTTGAGGTAAAGTGTTTAAGTGGAGATTCTATTTATCGTTCAGTAGAATGAAATCTACTGAAACTTCTTCTAGTTTATATTTGAAAGTTTTTACCTTGATTGAAATCCAATCTTCTTTATAATATTAGTTTTATTGAAGATCCAGCTTATCAATTTTTTATAGGTATTAATATCATATATTACTTACTTGAGTCTTCTGATTGATGTTTAGGACTGCAATTGATCAATCTCTTATTGGAATACGTGCATACTGTGTTTATTGCCTCGACATTACCTTAATTCATGTGTATTATAAGCAAAGATAGATGGTGGCTAACAGTGAAATCCTTGACGCGCGTTTAACCCTATTTGAGACTTATCAGCTGAATGTACTTGTATCCCACAGTCGATGTTCATATCAATGGGGAGATTCAAACAAACAATGCAAAATGAATTTAAACTTGACCCCATTAAATAAGCAATTGGCTAACAAAATTGGGATCGAATCCGTCAGGGAGCGCGAGTACCCTCAAGATTACAGGCACACCTTGATGACGAATGCCAAGTAGTACGAAACCCGGGTCCAGGGTTTACTGTTGACTACCTCCAACTACCATCTCATCTCAACATAGTGCACGCAATGTCCAGTCACCTAGACTAGTGGCAACATTGTAACTTGCTCGATAGCATTCGATCTGCACTAGAAAGGACTTGACACACATGACATTGATCACCATCCAATGATCAATCAATTGTGATTACAAAATTGAACATAGGATAAGTTGTTAATAATAGAAATAAAGGTAAATTTCTGACGCTTTATGATTTAGTGTAAGCCATTGAAATTATTATAATATCCACAAAAATCCTTCTGATATGCAAGGGAAAAGTTCAGAATATTTGTATGCTTGTAATTAATGTAATTTATCAACATAATTGAATATTATTATTTATTATTATTAACTTTATTCAATCCTAGATTTCCGGTACAATATAGAATTTTCAGTATAAAGTATTTCAACAAGTTTTCTTTACTTATTTCTCGAGATAAATATTGAGTGGTCTCTAGTTAACTCCACCTGTAGCCCCTCTGAAACTATTGCCGGTCCCAAGCCCGGATAAAGGAGGAGGGTTGGGCATGGATTTAGCGACCCCATCCCATAGAAAACTAACTCGCTAAAAAAACGCTATTATCGGTCGCCAGTTAGATGTTAGCAGTTCGGAAATCGACATTTGAATAACATACATTCTTTTCGAAGCATATTGCTAGCAGCCACGGTGTCTCTGATTAGGCTCTTTTGTAACTTGTACAGAGAAATGTCGTCAAATTGACACAAATGCTCCTGAATAGGTTATGAAACTAATAGGCATAATGATATCTTAAAATAAACAAGAAAACAGATAACTTGTTGTAATATTCAGATGGCAAGAACAGGTAGCCTAGATATTCAAACAGGCCGCCTGTATTTGTATAAATAATTGATGTTGGATGGATCATTGGACTTTTCTTTCTCTTAAGTGTGGTAAAGTTTAACAATATATGAAAAGCTTCAGTCATTCACCATTTATGAATTATTGTGATATTATTATAAACATCGACTTGATGGTTTAAGAAAAAATAGCATATACTGCTATAACTGATTTAATTGGTAGATTTTCAAGACCTACAAAACTATTCGCAGGTTATTTCGTGTAGCTCAGATATTCTTTGGCATAAGTCATAATTTCACAAGAAAATAATCAAATGTACAAAGTATGACAATCTACACTTCCTAACCGATTCATTACTATTACGGAATTGTTAAACAATAGATATTTCAATTTTCTTTAAGAGATTGGATGAAAAATCGAAGTTAGAATAAAATTTTAGAAATGGTTGGGCATAATATTTAATTGAACATAGAATTTAATCGTATGAAATTCAATGATTTAAAAAAATTGGACTATTTACTAATATTTTTCTATTTTCATAGTTTAAATCAGGAAATGATCTTAGTTAGATCACAATTTAAAGGCAGAAGATAATAAACAGCTGTTTCGTCTATAGTTTGGAACTCCTTAGAGGTGTGTATCTGCGACTCCAGCATAATGAATCGAGGAAACATTGTATATATTAGTTCGTAAAATTAAAACAATAATATTTAGTTACAGTACACAAGACAGACACAAAATGATCAGTCTTATTTTACAATCTGTAAGTCATAGCATTCAGATCCATCTATAATAAGCAGGTATACTGACTTAAATCAAGTATGTCAACCTTATCTAGAAAGATCAGTTAGTTACATCATTAAAGTTCAGACTATTAAGAAAACATTGTCTTACAAGAGCAAGAACAAAGATTCTAGTAGAATAGCAACAGTTCAAAAGGACAGAACCAACTGTTATCACAATCAATGTTGTAGAACGTTCGTTCACATGAAGTATATATTTACAATATTTAGTCAGTTCAATTTATTTACACCCTTGTTATACTATACTAATGTGTTTTCAATATAACTTCCAATCAAACCCATTATGTAATCATGATTATAAATATCACAAGTTATAAGTGGTTGACGAGAACCAAACGAAATAAAATGAATTCATACTATTTGTTATGCCCCGATAAGAATAATGAGTGTTAATTTTTGGGATCCATTGTGGACCAATACTATACGTATATTTTTACCGTATAATTGTTAATAAACTAAACTATTCTTATCGATTAAATGTTTAAATATTCCAATGGCAGTCGATTGACGAACTTATTGATTAAATGTTTAAAAGCTCCATGGCAATGTTGATTATATATATTTGTATATGTACGTTTTTAAATTGTTTTTGTGGGATCGCTCGTTTTCTGGCTGTTTGTAGAATATACTTCCCATTCTAAGCTTGGACTTCTCCTTCTAGATAGCGGGGCTGGGACACATCAATAGCTAGCTTACTGGTCTTTGGTCACCGAGTCTTGTTTCTCGTTCGCAGATTAAGTGAACTTGTGATAGCATCAAAACCTAGCACTATTCTACTACAATCATTATTCTTGATCTTTTCAAAATGAGAAAGGAAACTATGTGTACGAAATGTCTTATAAGATAATTCATCATAAATAATATTATTAAGAAAAACTATTTCTTCATTTGATTAATAATTTTCATAAATATTTTGTCTCTTTGAAATAGACACTAATGATATGATTGAGAAAGAAAATGAAACGTTCCTTAATTCTATAATCAATAAAATCTCAATAAAAGTAACCAATTGTACCTTAACATTTTCAAGTATTCTATGAAAGATCAATTCATAAGTTCTATAAAACCTGTCAATGTCAAAAGATCAGGTTATCAATAATTTTTTTTTCTATCTTCGTATTCAGTACAAATTTAAGCCACATAGCAATAATACTCTTTTATTACATTTACAAATTAAACGGATACTTCTTTTAAATACATTGATTTTTTCAAAACAGATAATCATTAAAAAGTTTAGTTGTATTAAAAGGGTTTTTAAAAAAATTAACCTTAAGATTTACAATGCAAAAGAAGATTTGTAAGATAACCTACATGAATATAATATGGCTAGATAAGTGTAAAGTAATTTAAACAAACCAATTATCGTTTTTCTGGTTAAATAACGCTAATCAAAAAGATGATAATTAGTTTGTTTAAATTACTTTATACTTATCTATCCGAGATGGTTTCATGTTTTAACATACACAAAGAAAAAAGAAAGATTCTCCGATACAACATAGCATGCAACAATCGAAACACACTTGACGGAGAAGATTTGGAAGAAGTAAAATCATTTACATGATTGATGAACACGGTAGATCTGATGCACATGTGAAGGCATGGATCGGCAAAGCAAGAGCAGCATATTTACAACTGAAGAATATCTGGAACTCAAAACAACTGTCAACCAACACCAAAGTCAGAATTTTCAATAAAAATGTCGAAACAGTTCTACTGTATGGGGCGGAAACCTGGTGAACTACGAAAGCCATCATCCAGAACATACAAGTGTTTATTAATAGCTGTCTACGCAAAATACTTCGGATTCGTTGATCAGACACTACCAGCAACAACCAACTGTGAGAGGGAACAAACCAGATCCCAGTGGAAGAAGAAATCAGGAAGAATCGTTGGAAGTGGATAGGACATACATTGAGGAAGGCACCCAATTGCGTCACAAGACAAGCCCTCACATGGAATCCTCAAGGCTAAAGGAAAAGAGGAAGACCAAAGAAGACATTATGTCGAGAAATGGAGACAGACATGAGAAAAATGAACAAAAATTTTATAGAACTGGGAAGGAAGGCCCAGGACAGAGTGTGTTGGAGAATGCTGGTCGGTGGCCTATGCTCCATTGGGAGTAACAGGCGTAAGTAATTATCATCTTTCAAGGTGATTTTAATTAACACGATGAAATAAAAATTTATGAGAAAGATTATGAAATTTAGAAAATACTAACCCACCAATGTAATTTAAAGACAAGATATAGTACTAAAATTTTACATTTAT